TTTTTTCTTGAGAGAGTGGGTATTACTGTTGTACCATGGCGCAGTACGTTTTTCTCTAACCTTTTTCAATTTGATGGGGGCAACAGCTTCTAATGTATTAGAGAAGATAGTGCCCATGTTGCTAGTTATTTCGTCTAGTTCATGTGTACTTATTGGTACACAGAGCAGTTGAGATAAATCAGGCAGGTTATTTGTGAATCTGTCTTTGGTGGCTGGAACAATAGTTCTGCCCGGACGATAACGCGGAGCCATATAGTTAATATTAGTAATACGCAGCATGCACGATACAAGGAAATGGTCAGTAACATCATCACTTTGAGGTACGATATCTATATCAGTAAGATCAATTCCATGCGATATAATTAAATCTAACGTATGATTAAAACGATGAGTGGGCCCGGTGACATTTTGCTTGACTCCAAAAGAGTTTATTAGGTCAGTAAACGCAAGTCCTAATGCATCATTTGCATTATCAATGTGAATGTTAAAATCTCCGACAATCCTGAACAGAAATTCTTCTTTGACACTGGCATAGAAAATACATCCTAACAAATAATACTACACATTCACATATTAAAAAAAAAAGTTTTTAAAAGATAATACCTCAATTAAGAATTTGGTTTAAAACAGTAACCGCCAATGGTACAAATTATCTTTTATATAGGTTCTTTTTAGCCAGCAGTATACGCAGCCTACGCCCTGAAGGAAGGGCCTCAATGCAGGAGTGAAGTGGATGAGTTTGGTCTGAATAGACTGCGATCGCCTTTTTTTCCATAAAGTGTAAAAACAGCTCTTGCATTGTACTCTGTTTCTGGCCAATTATCCTATTTGCTTCATTAATTACTCGTGTTAGTTTATTTTTCTGATTCATTGTTAAATTACCATAACATGATACAATATTATATGTTAAAATACTTTCAATCATCGATCTATAAACAATGGTTAAGACCCTCCTATCGATGCTAAAATTTCTTAGTTTCCTGAGTAGACCTAAACGCTGTCTTGCTTTCTTGTGTATATGGTCCACATTTTCCTGGAATGAGAGTTTGTCATCAATGATTGTACCTAAATATTTGAATTTTGAAACTTGCTCTACCTTTACACCTTTTATAGTAATTTGTTCATATGAAACACCAGCCGTACCAATCCTATTTTTGTTCCCACAGCATAGTTCCTTTGTCTTCTCAATATTCAATTGTAAGTGACTATCATCAAACCACTGAACAAGACTTTCAATATACTCAAAATAAGTTAAACTATTCATGTCCAATTGGCAAGAGATTAAAACCAAATCATCAGCATATTTGATCAGGGTGAGATCATCCCGGTTACATTGAAGTTCATTAATATAGACAGAAAAGAGGTGATAACACGCATCCTTGTGGTAATCCTGAATTCAGGACTATATAATCAGATGAGATTCCATAGACACAGACTCATTGGGGTCTATTTCTTAAGAAATGTTCAATCCATAAAATCAACCAACTGCTTACACCTAAATCTTGCAATCTTCCTTTTAAAATTTGCAGTTGTACAGTATTTAAGGCTGATGTAAAATCCATGAAAAGAATTCTGACATGAGCATTTGTTTTATCTAGGTGATGTTGGGCCTTATGAAACAAGGTCAGAGAGGCATCCACGTGTTCCGATCGGGCATGTAAGCAAATAGTGATGGATCTACAAAGCCTTTAATTTGTGACATCAACTCTTTATTTCTAAGCGCGCATATAGTCGTGAGTTTCTGCTCGATGTCGGCAGAACCACAGTTATGGTCTGAACGTCCTAGTGGTGGATGTAACCGTGATACATAAGCACTGTCCACATTACCAAAGCATTTATCTAAAGTTTTGTTCAGTCTCGTCTGACAAGCTATATACTGTACCAAGTTCGCCAAAACCGCTGATATTTCACAGTTATTAAAATCTCCAAGGAGAAACACTGGATCGTCCGCTGAATTGTGCAATGCCATGTTGTAGCTGGCAGCAATGCCCTCGGCTGCAAGTGAAAAATTTGGCCCAGGCACATAGACCAGAATAACAGTGATTTGTCCGAACTCTCGAGGCAAATAGTGTGGTCTGACTGAAACAGATAATAATTCGTAGTCGGCTGAACAATAGGTTCCACGTACCGTGGTATTGGTTGCCCAGCTGTCGTTGACAAACATACACAGTCCTCCTCCAATGCTTTTAAATGATTTCTGGCTGTCACGGTCGAGTCGAATTAACGAATATCCCTCGAGGTTTATGTCATCAATCTCCTCCGTTAGCCATGTTTCAGTAATGCAAAGCAAGTTCGTTCTCTTGAAGTCTCGATTATATCTCATTAGTGCTGCAAGTTCAGACATCTTGTTTTTAAGTGAGCGGGCATTAGTTAGAGTTATTGTGGGCAAAGGAAAACAGCTGCCTCGTCATTTCAGTCGATTCCGAATTCCCCCTCTAGTACCTCTCTTTCTCCTTTTCCTCTTCCTGTACATTGTTTGTGGAGAGTAAATAATTTCAAGAGGAACATCACAAGGAGGACTCGGCGGAACTTTCATGTTATACCGAAGACTTAGTAAATCCTCGCGGCTGTAAGTCATTTTACTCATTAGTCCGTTGTTTCTCAAACTTCCCAATTCCACTTCGGCTTCCAGTGCAATAACTCGATCGACGACGCATTTTAGACTCCAAATCCAAACCAAAATAAATGTAAAAATCATATCTCTAAAAATCTAAGAATAAAATAGCATCAAAAATAAAATATAAGACAGCTATAAGACAAAACAAACAAACTCGAACACGCCAGCGTCCGGGTCAGCACTTGCACATGCGCCCCCTTTTCAGAATCAGAATCAGAAAGAGCTTTATTGCCAAGTATGTTTGCACATACAAGGAATTTGTTATAGTGTCACAAGCTTCCAGTACACGGAGACAACAACAACACACAGATAATAAAAGTGAGATGAGAATAAAATACACATGCATAAATATAAACTACAAAAAAAGAATAAATTGTATGTACAGGTGTGGTATAGATGGAATAGGAATAGAATAAAATAAGTTGTAGGGATGTACTAGGGTTTAGGGTGATAAATAAGTATAAGGTTATTGCACATACTGTACTTTAATTGCACAATGGGAGAACATTAACTGTTCATGAGGTAGATTGCCTGGGGAAAGAAACTGTTCTTGTGCCTGGCTGTCCTGGTATTCGGTGCTCTGTAACGCCGACCAGATGGCAAAAGTTCAAAAAGGAGATGGCTTGGATGTGATGGATCCAGAGTGATTTTCTGAGCCCTTTTCCTCACTCTGGATGTATACAGTTCTTGGAGGGTAGGCAGGGGGGCACCAATAATCCTTTCAGCAGTCTGAACCGTTCTCCTTTTTTAATTTCCTCAGAACTAGTGCTAACAAGGTGCTTTGATTGTTTTTGTTGTAGAATACGATAGGGGATATATTCACACGTTATAGAAACGCAAATGATGGTGTATAAAATTGATTTTAAGATAAAAAATTAGACGACAAAGAATTAACTTGACGGAGCTCAAACTCAAAACACATGGCAGCAACAAACAGGAAGTGACGCATTACTAATATTACAGTAGTATATTACTTTTTGCTGTAATGCAGTAATATAACGCATTACTAATAAAATTTGGGTAATATTATTACTCGTTACAATCTCAGTAACGCAAGTTACAACAACATATTTTAACTCAAAATGAAGTGGTGAATTTACCAACACCGCAAAACAGCACCAGAGAAAAAAATCCGGGGGTAAAATAGTTTGTCTATTTCCTGCTGCTTAGTCAGGTACAATATGTGCGACACCAAACTCTCAACATGGAGAAATAGCACGAGTTATCGGAGAGAGCTGCGGGGTCGGAGAAGAGAAAAAAGGTGGCGGACGAGCGCAGACAAGCAACAAAAATAAGTTTAACTAAAAATAACAAAATATGTTTTTATTAAATCATAGTCTATAAAATGAATGAATATGCGAAATACTTGACTTAAATAGCCTAATTAACAGATTAACAAAACGAAAGGAAAAGACTGAGACATGCTGCTGAGTTTGGTCCATAGGCTATTTGGGTGGCGCGGCGCTCCACGGAAAGGAAACCGAGATGACAGAAGTAAAGTAAAAAAAAAAAAAGTGCCTCACGCACACACAGCATTGCAAACGTTGCAGCCTGTTCATTATCAGAATAAAAAACAGTCAACCAAACATATAGATACACTGGTTAATTTAAATAGTGCATACTGCTTAGTTACAATCCGTGCCGTTCAGCCTGAGCCCGGGCCAAACACACATTTGTTCATGTGAAGAGGATGTTTTTTAAGCGCGATAAGTAAGCCTGGTTTACGTAATAAATAATAGTTTTGCATTCAAATACATCGCAAATATGGACAAATTTAATTGGATTAATGCTGTTAATAAAAAATAACAATTTGGTCCCTCTGTAAATTCTCTTTGCCACCTTGAAGAATTCTCAGTTACTTAAAGTGTAGATAGACGGCCGGGAAGTAAGAAAACACACAGTCAAATGTATCCTCAATACTTCAATTTATTCATAGAAATACAGATATTATATAGGCATATGTCGAGGGGAGTTTCACCCTCTTAACCAATGAGGATATGAATAACATACACGTAGGATCTTTGGCCAAGAACATGTGTTTATATAAAATAGCCACATGTACAGAAAAACATGGACATATTAGGAATAGACTTTTGCGAAGAATGCTGAACTGTCTTCAGAGTTTCATCACGAACCTCATTCCTAGCTATCATGTCCTTATTTGGGACATTTGAACCAAGAGAAGCTAATGTATACATTTAAGCATGCATACCTTGCATATAAGTAAGACATATTTAAAACATAATATCAAGAGAGAGAGATGGATACAGAAGGGGGGATTCAGAGAGAATGCGTTGTATATAGAAGAGTTAGAGAGAAAAAGAAAGGAGGGGTGACATCTCTGGAACATTCTCTTAACAAGACAGAGAGTGTTTTCTAACAAATGCCGAATGAGAGAGCTAGCCTGCGCGAGAACGCCATTTGCTTTCAGTTTCGCATTGAATTAGCCTCATTCATTCAGTGGCTTGTTTAGCAACTTATATTTTTCATTCTTGTTTTCTTCTGAAACCGTTCAAAATAGCCAATAGGCTAGGTATTGTGTTTATTGTTTGTATATGATAACATTTCGCTTTATTTACCGGTGTTATTTTTGAATGTAATAATGCGGTTTGTGCTTATCTGTGTTTAACCTAAACTACGTAACATTACTGTAGACCTATACCGGTATCTAAATATGATTTTATAATTTTATGCTATATAGACCTACCACATTACCCTCCACTGGATGTAGAATGAGCAGCAATAAACTACATTTTGGCATTTTGTAATACTTCTGTGGATATTTTGGAGAAAGTAACTCAAAAGTAACTCAAAAGTAGTGTAACGCATTACAATTCAGAGACAGTAATATTGTAATGTAACTAATTACTTTAGTTAGACAGTAACTAGTAATATATAATGTATTACATTTTGGAAGTAACTTGCCCAACACTGACAAGTGATTAGGACATGATAGTCAAATGTGTAGGTTACATACACACTCTCAGAAAAAAAGGTAAAATTTTGTACCAAAGAAGGTACAAACTCTTGTCACTGGGGCAGTACCTTTTAAGGGTACAGAATTGTACCTTAATATAAAGGAACAAATTTGTACCATTCCAATTTGTACCTTAAAGGACATGTTTTGTACCATGGGGAACCAAAATGTGCCTTTTCATTTTTAAAGCTTGGTACAAAATCATACCTTCATCAAAGGTGCAAATCTTGTCCTTTAAGGTACAAATTGGAATGGTACAAATGTGTTCCTTTATATTAAGGTACAATTCTGTACCCTTAAAAGGTACTGCCCCAGTGACAAGGGTTTGTACCTTAACGGTGGCAAATATGTTCCTTCAAGAGCTATTAAAGGCCATTTTCCTATTGAATAACATGCACATTCAACAACTGAAACCAAAATATTTTTTTATATCAGTAACTGCAAATACATATCAAATACACACAAGTGGTTGAACAGTAAAATATTTATTTTTGTAAATGCATCTTTCCAGATTACAATAAAGACTTGTAAAAAAAAGCTGCAAAACATTTTACAATACAATTAAATTAAATGTTACAGTACATAAAATATAATTACACTAAAATGTTACATTATGTAACAAAACTAGAAAACTTTTCCCCCACTTTTCACACAACATCCCTGCATTTAACATTTTCAAAAAACACCATTCTTCACCTCAACTGCTCGGCAAATTTCAGATCCCTCCATTTTTACAATTCTGAAGATTCTCTTCTCACTGAAGACTTGTGTCCAGTCAGATGTTCCCAAAATCTGCACAGTGGGATATGGTGTGTGCTGGTTCTTCCTGAACTAAATGAAGAATCAGTATTAGAAAAGACAGCAGTAAACTGATTGCATTTATATTCCCACTGACTAGTTACAACTAGTCTACATATTTTTATCTTACTACAGATTCTTTGCATGTAACACCTGTCTGATTGTGACAATTGTTCACATTCTCCCTGAATATCACCAGATGTAAAACCAGAGTAGCATAAAAAAAATCCATATCTGAAAAGACATTTAGCAACTATGAAGACATACATTATTCATTCCATACTTTCAAAACAAGCAAAGTCTAAAGATGAAACATGCATACCACAAAGGTTCTGAACCTTGAATGTGTAAGTTGCGTTGCTACCAGTGGAGGGACAGAAAGCTTTTGCATTTCATCAAAAATATCTTCAGTGAGAGAAAAGTGTTTATAACATTTGAAATATGGATATTTTTCTTACAAAAACGCATGGATTCACTACAGAAGGCCTTTATTCACCCCCCGGAGCCGTGTGAAGCACGTTTTATTATGAATGCGCATGCTTTATTTGACGACTTGTGGACTGTTCAACTGCCACACCCGCTGACTGCAATGATATAGACAATTTTTTATATAACTACGACTGGATTCGTCTGAAAGAAGAAAGTCATATACATCTAGGATGCGTCGAGGGTGAGTAAAACACAAGCCAATTTTCATTTTTGGGTGAACAAACAGTATCATCAGAGGTCTTTACTGTACCATTAAAGGTACAATTATTGAAAAGGTACAAAACTGTTCTTTGAGGAACATTATTTGTATACCATCGTGTACCTTTTTTTCTGAGAGTGCATGATATAGATTTAAGCATAGAAATCTGATTTATGAACATTCTGTTGTCTTGGGCCTGTTTGTGGAATTTCCCTATTTGGGTTGTTCAACACCAGTGTTAATTTCGTCAACGAAAAATATTCGTTAATTAACATTTTTTCTGTGACTAAGACGAGACGTTGACGAGCTAAAACTAATATCTGATAATAAAAACTATGACGAAATGTATGCCGTGTCTTCGTTAACAAGACGAGATGTGACTATAATGTTATTTGAGGACTACCGGACATTCAAAATACATCCTATAGGCTACTGTCTTGTCCTTCAACATGTGTGTCCCTGTCATTGGATTACAATCGGATGAGGGGCGTTTGCATATCTAGTCTCAGTATGGCAGCCGCAGTGGATGGATAGGCTACCAAAACGCGCACTAGTGATCTGAAACAATGGCCTCAGCACCCGAAGGGTTAGGGATAAGGTGACCAGATGTCCCGTTTTTCCCGGGA